TTTGTTGAGGATTTTGCATCTATATTCATCAGAGATGTTGGCCTGAAGTTTTCTTTTTTACACTGTGGCTCTGCCACATTTTGGCATCAGAATGATGCTGGCCTTATAGAATGAGTAAGGGAGGAATCCCTCCTCAATTTTTTGAAATAGTTTCAGTATGATTGGTATCTGCTCTCGTTATATGTCTGGTAGAATTTGGCTGTAAAGTCATCTGTTCCAGGACTTTTTCTGGCTGGTAGGCTTTTTATTGGTGATTCAGTCTTGGAGCTTGTTATTGGTCTATTCTGGGTTTTCATTTCTTTTTGGTTCAATCTTTGGAGGTTATGTATTTCTAGGAATTTAGCCATTTCTTCTAGGTTTTCCTGTTTGTGTCCATGGAGTTGTTCATAATAGTGTCTCGGAGTTTTTTGCTTTTCTACGGGGTCAATGGTAATATCTCCTTTGTCATTTCTGATTGTGTTTATTTGGGTCTTCTCTCTCTTTCTCTTTATTAGTCTAGCTCTAGTGGTCTATTAAACTTATTTGTTCTTTCAAAGAACCAACTTGTGGTTTTGTTGATCTTTTGTATGGTGTTTTATGTCTCAATTTCATTCAGTTCATCTCTGATTTGGTTATTTCTTGTCTTCTGCTAGATTTCGGTTTGGTTTGCTCTTATTTTTCTGGTTCCTCTAGGTGTGATGTTAGGTTGTTAATTTGAGATCTTTCTAGCTTTTTGAAGTCGGCATTTAGCTCTGTAAACTTTCCTCTTAACACTGCTTTAGCTGTGTTCCAGCAATCCTGGTATGTTGTCTCTTTATTTTCATTAGTTTCAAAGAATTTCTTGATTTCCACCTTAATTACTTTGTTGACTCAAAAAGTCATTCGGGAACAGGTTGTTTAATTTCCATGTAATTGTGTGGTTTTGAGAGATGTTCTTAGTATTGATTTCTGTTTTTTTTGCGAGATTTTCTATTTCTCTGGTAAGCTTTTCAATTTTTCCATTTGTTTTAAGCATGCTCATTACAGTATATTTATTATTGTTGCTTTAAAATCCTTGATAATGCTAATATTTCTTTCATCTCAGTATTGGAATCCATTTATTTTCTCATTCAGTTTGAGACCTTTCTGGTTCTTGATGAGTGATTTTCACTTGAAACCTAGACATTTTGAGTATTATGAGACTGGGTTTTATTTAAACCTGCTATTTTAACTGGATACCTCTGGCATCACTCAAGCAAAGGAAGGGGAAAGGGGGGAAGACACCATCTTGTTGCTTTCAGGATCACCTGAGGTCAGGAGTTTCAGACCAACCTGGCCAACATGGTGAAACCCTGTCTCTACTAAAGATACAAACATTAGCCAGGTGTGGTGGCGGGCACTTGTAATCCCAGCTACTTGGGAG